GAAGTGCGCCCCGAAGTGCAGCTTCGCCACCCCGTTCGGAGGCACTGTGAAGTACATCTTGGCAGTGCTCCAGGCACCCTGGTCGCCCACGAAGCTGCCGTACAATGGGTCGTAGACGTTGTCTGCCTCGGACATGTACACCACGAAGTTGGAGGCCGTGCCGAGCCGGTACCGGCAGGCGAAGAGGAGCTCTCGGCCCGGGGTCAAGTTGTAGGTGCGCACGATGTTCCACGGGTTCACCGCCAGGGTCAGGGTGTAGCCGTCCACGCTCACTCCCGCGGCGTGCGTGGCCAGGACCACGCTGCAGCCGCTGCTGGGGCGAACCGTCCAGTTTGACAGTGAGACGTCCGTGGGGCCCAGGATCTGCTCTCCTATGGCGGCCACCACCTCGTCGGCCCCACCGTCGTCCGGAAAGCGCACGGCTATTTGCAGGGCTGAGGCCGCCTCCGTGACTCCGAGCTTGTCGGCAAGGAGGCCGTCTACTTGTGCGATGGTGTAGTAGCTGAGCAGCGCGGCGGCGATGCTCGAGGTCGTTGCCGTGTCCTGGTCGGCGGCTGAACGGTACGCCACCAGCGCCGAGGTGATTTGGTTGGTTGTGAACACGTCCTGGTCCGGGCCCGTCCGGTAGGCCAGCAGCGCGCCTGCGATGGCGGCCTGCGTCTGCGTGTCCTGCGCGCTTGCCGTGCGGTAATCTCCCAACAGAGCGTCTACCTGCACCGAGGTGTAGTAGGCCAGCAGTGCGGCTGTGATGGCGCTGGTCGTCTCCGCGTCCTGCGCTGCCCCTGTGCGGTAGTCTCCCAACAGAGCGTCTACCTGCGCCGAGGTGTAGTAGGCCAGCAGCGCAGCCGCAAGGGCCGCGTCCGCCGCTGCGATGGAGTAGCAGTCTGCCGTGATGCTCAGCGCGTCGTCGCCGTTGGCCAGCGCAGCAGAGAGAGGAGCCCCCAGATGCAGGTTGCGAACGACGTTGCTTCCGCGAACGAGCTCCCAAGTCGTGAAGCCCGCCCAGGCCGGCGCGTTAACAACTCCGCCGCTGCCGGAAAGCTGCAGGGCGGCGAGCTCCGCGAGGATTGCGTCGAGGGCGCTCTGGAGCGTGGTCTCGCTGGCCGAGAGCGCGGCGTTCGTGGCGTACGAGGCCAGCAGCGACGTGTCGGCCTTGCCCCGGAGCGCCGTGATGCTGGCGTCCCGGCAAGCAAGCTGCGCTGCGACGAAGGCCTCGGTGGCGAGACCCAGCAGGGCATTTGCTATCTTGGTGTCTACCTCCAGCGGCGTGCCCAACCCGTTCCGTGGAGAGCAGGGAGGCCAGCGCGCTTGCGTCCGCCTTGCCGAGGAGGGCAGCGTCCAGGGCTGCCGTGGTGACTGCGCCCAAGAGGGCTGCCGCTATCTTAGAGTCCACCTCAGAGGAAGTGTCGACGGCCGAGAGCAGGGCGTAAGCAGTCAGGGCGCTGGTGTCCGCCTTGGAGGCCTGCAGCCCCGAGATGGAGGCGTCTCGGCTTGCGAGCTCGGAGGCCAGCGCGCGGCGGTGACGGCCCCCAGGAGAGCGTTGGCCACCTTGGTGTCACCTCCAGCGGCGTGATCCTCGCCGCTATGTCTAGGGAGTGCTGGTCCACCACCGTCTTGAGGCCGTAGTTGGCGGCCACCGTGGCCAGCGTGGCGTTGTTGGCCGAGGCGATGGAGCCGTTCATGGCCGCCGTGGTGCTGTAGTTGGACAGCTTCAGGTCCACGCCGTCCGGGGTGCTCTTCGTGGCCACCACGCCCTCCAACACGTCGAAGGCCGACTGGTCTGCCTTGTTGGAGAGACCCGTGGTCAGCGAGCTCTGCAGCGCTGCGACCACCTGTCCGTCCGTGGTGGCCAGGGCCGCAGCCGTTGCTAGGGGCGCAATTGCCGGCGCCAGCACGCTGCTGTCCAGCTTTGAAGTCAGCGGTGACTCGGTCGTCCAGGGACTGGATGGCGGCCGCGTTGTTGCCTGAGGCTGCCGTGTTCACCGCTAGGTCAGTTACTTGGGCGTAGGGCGTCAAAGCGAGGGCAAGCTGCCCTGCTGTGACGTGCGTACCGTCAGTTACCTCTCCGTTGTCCAGGACCTCCGGGATGTTGCCCGTGACAGGTCCTTCAAACATGTTTTCTTAGGAGTAGTCGTTACGTGCTTGTTGTACTTTCACAACACGCCCTCACTTGAGTCGCTATGGGTCATTCGGGGCCTTCGTGGCGCAGGGTGGTATAATTAATCTCGCAACAGCCCCTACCTGTACGCGAAGTGTGGAATGACGCAGTGTTCGATGGCGTCGGACACTGGGCATGAAGCGAGGTCCTTCACTTATGAGACCTCTGATGAATTGACCGATGGCGTCGGTCAAAAACGCTTGGGACACCTCGGCCTCATGACGAGACCGGCGAAGGACACTTGTCTCAGCGGTTATGACCTGCGGGGCATTCATGAGCCAGCCTTGCCCTTTCATGAGCCAACCTTGTCCATTCATGAGCCATTGATGAATCACCCCGTTCCATTATTGACTCAAACTTGCTAAGAACCGAGTCCTCTCGGGAACTGGGGCGCTTTTGCGCACTTTTCGGCCCGGTGACGAAGCGGTGACGAAGCGGTGACAAGCGGTGACATGCTCGGCGGGCTGGTTTTCCGGGCCGAAAGCGGAAAACTGAGCAAAGTGGTCGTCTGGAGCCCGCTTTCCACCGAAAACCAGCGAATTTGGAGGCTCAGACATCCCACTCGCCGTCCGACACGGAAAAACGGACTCTTCGGACTCGACCGTTTTGAGCGCTTTTTGCACCAAAAACGGAGCCGGATGGAGCGGTGACATCGGTGGTGACAAGCTCGGGCTGGCTGACGGACCACCTCGGCGGGCTGTCGGACTCCGAGCCTGGTCCTCGGCGGGCTGTCGGGCCGCGAAAAACCCTGCGGAGAAGGAGCTCGGGAACTGGGCCCGGTTTTGCGCACTTTTGCACCCAAAAAGCGAGTGGTGACAAAGCGGTGACAAGCGGCGACGACCTCAGCGGGCTGGAATTCGCAGGCTTTTCGGGGCAGAAAACGGATTTCGGAGCACAGCGAACGTCTGGAGCCGGTTTTCGGCGGAAAACGAGCGAACTTGGAGGCTCGGGCACCACTTTTGACGTCTGACACGAAAAAACGCGCTTTTCGGAGTTGGCCGTTTTCAGCGCTTTTTGCACCAAAAACGGAGTGGTGACAAAGACCGGTGACATCGGAAAAACGTTCAGCTGGTTGGTGAATTTGACTGTTTTGCAGGGTTTGGGAACCAAAAAACAAAAATTAATTGGGTAGTATAGGCCTTCTTTCCTTACTACTCGCCACTCACTGATGAGCTCCTTCACATCGGTTTGGGGGCTGCTCGGCAAGCCCTTGTCATCTCTAACTTCCAATTTTCCCACCGACCAGCGCAGGGCAAGCTCTGCCCGCTGTGCGCGCGTGGCCGGGGTGAGAAGAGCCGTACAGATGCCACACACCTCTTCCAAGACTTCCTGCAAGTGCTGGGTATCTTCGAGCTTGTACGCAAGGCGTCGGACTTCCACGCGGCAGGCTTTTCCAGAAGCCTGCCTGCACGTGTTGGAAGGCCCTGGAGAAAGTCATGATAAGTGGCTGCGGGTTTTTTTGAGTCCATTCAAGCATTCGGCGGGCTTTTTTTCTAGAGCGCGTTCCCCACCCTCCTCCTCGGGAAGAGTTTTTTTGCACGGTTTTGCGCTGCAAAATGCTATTAGCCCAGCGCCTACCTAAATGTAGGCACGAGGCTAATAGCTTTGCACGGTTTTGCGCTGCAAAATCCTATTAGCCTGGTCCGTACATCTATGTACGGACTGGGTTAGCTCGTTTTGCACGGTTTTGGGCTACAAAATGCCATTCCTCCATTCCGTATCGCCCTGGAGGATAGCTTTTGCACGGTTTTGGGCTGCAAAACGCGATTCTTCCAGCGCCTACATTGATGTAGGCACTAGAAGAAGAGTTTTCCTTCGCCGTACAACTTAAAATGTGTGTATATAAACAAGCATAGGTAGTCACGCCGGAGCCCGAGCCTGGACTACAAGCTGAAGACGAGCAACACAAGCTACGTGACGGCGCGGCATGACGTGCAGTACTTCCCCAGCTCGCTGAGCTCGTTCTCCCCACAACCTCTCGGGTCTGCCGCATTCCGCTGACCAGCGGCGCGTCCTTCATCAACCCCGTCGATCAAGATCGCCTTCCGCGTTAGGAACACGGACGGCACCAACCCGCTGGCCCAGCCACGCCCCGCCTGCTTTGTCCAGCGTGTCCAGGTCTTTGCCAACGGCCAGCGCTGCGACAACATCAACACGGCCGCACCGGCCGTGCATAACCTGCTCAAGGGCCGAGAGTAAACCGCAACAAGGGCATGGAGGTTTCGACGAAGTCAACGACCCCCGCATCGCCCGCGCGGTGCACCAGGGCGGCTACGCGGACGTGCTGCTGCGCCCCACCATGGTGGGCATCCTGCGCTGCGGGAAGATGCTGCCGCCGCAGCTGAACCTGGTGATAGAAATTGAGTTTGCGGACGCCCCAACTGCGCGCGCGCGCCTTCACAAAACTCATGGTTTGTGACTTTTTGGGACAACAACGCGGCTTCAAGATCGAACCCAGGGCAGAGCGTGGCCCCCATCGGGCGGCCAGGCAGGAGGACAGCCAGCCTGCAGTACCCTTAATTCTATGAAGGGAGCCTCGGAGCACTTTCACTTTGCTAAGATTTCTTTTAGCCGAGACGCCTTACACATCCATGCTGTCATCAACCGTGTTAGTTGACTCATGACAAGTCATGCACAACATGTCAACCAAGTGTCCTATACAAGTCAACATGTACCAGGTTGGTATAGGCGGTGCAAAGTCAAGCACCCCGCCTTGGTTGCATCCCTTTTCAAGGGTTGCAAACAAACCATTGACTTTACAATCATCTCAAAGTGAAACCTAAGCTCCTAGAGCCTCTGCACCTCAAAGTGCGCAAAACGGCTTCCATTTATCACACGCTTCTCAGTCTTGCAAATACTGACTTCCAAGGAATCTTCCAATCATCTCCTCTGCCAGGGCCTGGATGGCCTCCTCATCACCACTCAGCACATAACGTCCATCAAAGGCCGCTTCATTGAAAACCAGCTCATCTCCATAACTGAAATCCGAATCATGTCCCAAGCGCCACAAGCAAAACAATGTGGTCGCTCTCAACTCGTTCTCTACCTCATCATCTCTGATGTCAAAGTCCAACTCGCCATCAGGTCCACCTGAAAAGTCTTCCACACCTGAATCATCTGATCCGGTGTTCAGAGCTGCACCTGCAAAAATGCGAATCGTGCCAAATGCACTTGGAAGCGCCAAACAAGTCTGTGTCACTGCCTCCTTTCTCTCACGCACTTGCCATTGCATCTTCCAGATCCCAGACCGCTGCAAAATATACCACATCACAGCACACGTGAACATGCCAAGCATGAAAATCATGAAAAGAAATGAAATACTGAAATCTGCATCGCAATTGCAACTCCAAGTACTTGACTGCTCAGTCAAGCACATGTTGTCCTGCGCTCGTGTAATTGGGCTCTCCGGGCTCAAGGCGTCTGCGAAACTTCCCTGAAACAGTTGGCCAAGCAAAAGTCCTCCAAGCGCCTGACGCAACGCTTCAGTGTTCTGGCCTTGCACCAGACGAACATTGCCTGTACGATACTGGTGCTGCGCATTGATCATATGAATTGCACGCTTCTGAAACTCTTCTGCTTCATATCGGTCCCAGAGTTCCTGTCCGACACGCTGCTGCTTGTCAAAATCCCAGACATTGACACAACAAAGCAGAAAATCCAACCGATCTCGCCCTAGCTTCTTTGTGCCCAAATCTGCAACATTGATACGCGTAGGCACACTTGCAGGGAGTATCTGACGTGCCTTCACCTTCTCTTGCACCCAGAGGATGCGGCATGCCAAGTGCCGCACCTTGCCAGCACCTGACCGAAGACAAATTGCCTTGCAAGCCATGTTGTCAAGCCAAAGCTTGACTGGCACATCTGCGTCCCACATCCAACTCATGATACCTGCCAGCAGGAGTCCGTCACAGCAAACACTTACGCATGCTTGATACTCCGACTCTGCGCTGCTGAGCGCCACGGTACGTTGCACCCTCGAAGCACTGTAGACCATGTTGCCGCACAGCACCAACACACCTGACGTAGTACTGCGGCGGTTGAGCTTGTTGGCCGCCCAATCCGCATCACTGTATGCTTCCACAGTGTAAGGATGCAAATCACCCAACGGCTGAAACAGACCCATACCTTTCTCATGAGCCTCAAGACGCAAACCTCGATTTGACCTTGGGTACAAGTACTGCACCAAGTGCCTGACTGCTTTCCAACTCATTTCAGTGGGGTGCGCGAGAAACTGCGAAAGCGCACGAATGGTAAATTGGCAGTCTGGCAAATCACCTGCAAGGTACATCAAGATTCCGACACAGCTCCGAAATCGTGTCTGCGGGTCCAACTCCGCGGAAGAATCGATCTCTGCCAAACCAGGAAAATGCGGCGTATGCTTCACAACCCGTCCTGACACATCGGTGAGTTCTGCAAGACGCTCAAAGTGGCTGCTGCGGGGCTGAATCACCAAGGCCTTCGGCTCCAACCAATAATGAACACGCTTCAGAAACTCGAACAAATCCCCTGGCTGATCCAGAAACTCCATGGTGACTTTGTAGCGTTTCTTCAAGTTGGGAAGCAAAGCACCAAAAATGTAACTGCGGGGTCCAGCGATCATCATGTCATCCACATGCAACATGATGAAAACACGGTTCGGTCCAGGTGTACGCAAGATGCATGGATAAACTTCACACGGGGTCATTTCCATGACCTCATACAACCACGACGTGAAATCAGTATGCCACAAAAGAGAACCATCGCGTTGTCCAGGAAGCACCTTTCCAAGCGCGTATGGAATCCTCTCACCGGTTGCTGTGGCCACATTCACCACGGTGGGCTGCTGCTGGTTCACCGTCAGAAAAGCATCTGCGATATCACAAACTCCCAGAGTCCAATCCTGCTCAACATGCTGCAACCAAATCACCGGCAAAACCTTCGTTGTCACTCCGCTGGACGCCGGTGAAAACAAATCATCTCTGCTTTCCAACCACGCGTACTCTCTTGCGACCAGCCGCGATCGCAAGTACCACACTGACGCGCCATCTTTCTGCTTCTTGCGCCAGCCTCGCACGAACTTTGTCGACAACTCTTTCACAGCTGCCTCTTCACGCAGGGTCTCCGGCGACAAAAGAACCTCCATTCTCTCAAGCCGGGCAATTTCCACTTGATCCGCCAACGCTTGCAGCTGCATCAGCTGCTCTTCCGGAAATTCTGGCTCAGCTGCGTCATACGGAAAACACAAGTCTGGATGCAAACCATCCTCAGGCAAATCAGCACTCTGCTTTGTCTCCTCCATCACATAATCATAATCCTCCAGAAACTCTACCTCATCTTCTGCAAAATACAGAGTGGGCACATCGTCTTCGTGATTCAACTCTTCTTGCCCAACAATGCAGCGAATAGCCGGGGGCTCCCGCCCACTTGACGGTGTCCCTGATCTCTGCACAACCTCTGCTGCAAAGAAAGGCGGCGAATGTAGACCTTGGCGCGGCTGCTTCGCGGGTCGAGGGTTTTCCGACAGTGTTATCCGGGTCAGAGACTGTCTCCGGCTGCAAAGGAGCTGGAGAACGTAGCATGTCCTGATCCTCGGAGGATTTCCGCGTTACCGGAGGAGTCGCGTACCCCGCCTCGCCTGAACCGCCCGTTTGCATATCGGACACATCACCATTTTGCGACTGCACAGAACCACGTCTGCTGCTGCTGCTACTTGATGAGGACGGAGGGTCCACTGCTGCCTCATCCTTTTCGTCAGATCGCCGATCTTCAAGCAACTGTGACAATGCTCCACCTTCAGGAATGGCTGGAAGCGCCATAGGAGCCGAGAATGCATCTCTCCCTTGCTTGCTCATCACCAAACGTCCTCCCAGATTGCTAAAGCCAAATTCCCATGGGCACAACTCCAGTTTCCCCAAGGCTGTCAAATTGAAAGCATTCGGGAGTCGCCTGATTGACCGACTCAAGAAAATGCCATTTGGAGTACCCAAAACATGAATGTCCGAGGTCAAGGTTCTCCCGAGCCAGATTGCTCTGGTCCACACAGGCAACCCCTTCGCCTCAGGTTTCAATTTCAGATACGCAAGCAAATACTCACCGTACATTGCCAATTTGCTTTTGTAAACAGATCCGGTGGCTCGCTCGTACGGAGTCAAACCTTGCTGCACCGAAAATCGGTTCTTGAGAAATGAGCTGTGGACCAAAGCCCAACAATAAACTGGATGCGTGGCTTGGAACACGACTGTACCATCTGCAACTCCACAAGCTTGCTCAATCTGCGAAACCAACAAGTTTGCCATCTGCCTCACACCTTGGACAGCTTGCTCTGCAGCACCGTTCGCAGCGTGGTCTCCTGGTGCCACTCCCTGAAAGTTGGCTGTCACACCAAAAGCTCGAAGCGCACGCCGGGCATCTTCAACTACTGCCAAAATGCTCGGTTCATTGTCTGAGCGAAAACACACCTGATTGTGACCACATGCCATCACAAACCTTGCAAGCTCAGTAGCCAAATAAGCACGCCACTTACCACCCTTGCTGGGCGTTGGAATTGCTTGCACCATCTTGGTCTGCCGGTCTGTTGCAATGAGAAACGTCACTTTGCGCTCACCATTTACATCCCTGGAAGAAAACCCAAAGTCGATTGAAACCACTGACTGGGAAGCACCCTCATGTGTCTCTGCTCTATGTGCATCTTGGCGCCCACGATGAGTGACACACAAAGAGCACCATGGTTGGTACGGGGTATGTGTCAAAACGTGAACCCGCACCTCTTCCTGCGTAGGCTTCCTTGGGATAGGAGCCTCATTCGCCACGCGCACCTGGTCCTGCTCAAGATTGTGCCGCACTTGTTCTGCTGCAATCAAATCCTGAGTCCGCACAAACTCTGCCATGCGTCTGAAACATTGTCTCTTATTGCCTCCAGTTGGCAAACCCAAGGCTCGACAACCAGCACGCAAAGTGTTCAAGGATGAATCCACTGAAATCTTCACTCCTTCAATCTCAAGCTCATTGGCTCCCAACTCGTCAGGATGCCATTCAACTGGATCTCTCACTGCGACTTCCGCAGCATCTGTGTCTGCCTCACCTCCCGGCTCAGCAGCTGGCGGTTGTTCCGCCTCCACTGCTGGCATAGCCGGGGCCTCATCCTTCAATGCCTGCAACGGGGCATCATCATCAAAGGTCACCTCAAAGCAAAGCTCTGCCGGGCTGCAATGCTTGTTGTGCGCCAAAGTAATGACCTGTTCAACCGTCTCCGGATTTCCCAAAACAGTTTCCCGGTCATCCATGCGGCTAATGTCCTCACCAAACTCCACAAGGCTCCATTTTCCTCCTGTCCGCACCAAAGTGGTGCGTCTCCACATCAACGTAGGTGTTGGCAACAACGTAGTGTCCACATGTCGCGGCTCAAAACTCAGCACGCCATAGCACTCAGGTCCCAGCTGCGTACATCCAGGACTGAGCTTCAGCAATGGCTCATACAAAGTGAGAGCACGCACATACATGCACAGTGCACCATCGTCACATTTGGGTATCCCAAACCCTAGTCGCGCGCCCCTCAAGACTGGACTTGGGGGGGCCAAATTATCTCTGTCATCTGCGCCTTTCTCACAAGCATCTTGCATCATGGAAACACGCAAAATCTGACCAGTTGCACATAAGCTGTTCATGCGGTAATGCACTGGAACATGCGCTGAAACTCGAGGATGCACCAAATGCAAATTGCCACTTGCATCATGCTGCAAAGTCCAACCCGTCTTCAAAAGTTTTCCCAACGATATGATGGGAGAAGTAACATTGGCCAGAAGAAAATCATCTACCATTGGAACTTCGCCTAGTTGAAACTTCACTCTACGCGTGCCACCTGTCACCAAACGGTTCCCTTGAGCATCATTGAAAGGCACAGGAATGCTCTGAGTGGCCGACCCAACTCCGTCATAAGACAGTGGCAACGCACTTGTATCTGAGCCACTGTCCAGGATCACATCCAGCCACCCTGCATCACTCCAGATACCTCGCACAAATCCGGAACCTTCTGACAGGTCAGGGCTGAGAGTCCAATCTGTGTCATCATCTGTGCAAGTCATATCATACTGCAAAGCATTTGCAAAGGATGCGCCTGAAAACATCTGCACTGCTGACACCATGAAAACGGATCCAGCCTCATGGTCTGCTTCTGAAGCAACTTCAGAATCAATACTGAAAATCGTCAGATCAAATGTGCCATCATCCAAAGCGCTCATGTCGTGACATGCAGGGTCCAAAGCAACTCGACGCACAGCTCCTGTTCTGTTTTGAAGATTCATGCCACCTGCACTGCTAGGAACTCTGCTGCTCTGCGTTGCCCCGCTTGTCGCTGTTGCCATGGATGCTTGTGAGTACGCCGTGTCACTGCGGTAAGGTTGCTGAAACTGTTGAAACTGCTGTGGCTGATGCTGAGGTTGACCATGACCATGAACATCCTGCTCCTCCGACATGGAAACATTGCGGACATGACCTTGGTCCTGTTTAAACTTGTAGCAGTCCCTTTTCCAGTGACCAGCCTTTCCGCAATAAAGGCACGTGTTGTTGCTGCCACCACCATGCTTTCCTTCGTTTCCTTTGCCTTGTGAGTGTCCTCCTCCATATCCTTTTCCCTTTCCTTTTCCTTTGGCGTCAGACTTCCCTTTGCCTTTTCCTCCTTTGTGTTTCCCTTTGCCTTTTCCTTTGCCTCCTTTGTCAAACCGGTTGAAAGGCTGCTGCTGTGTCTGCCACTTGCCTCCACCCTTGCCTATGCGGTCAATTTCCATCGGTGCCAAACCTTGATTTCCAGATTCTGGTTGCGGTAAAATACCAAGCTCAGCATGGATCTTGTTGTTGCTCCATGTGCGAGTAACATTCTCATATGCCAAAACTTGTTCACGAACCTGTGAGTATGTTGATGTCTCATTCATCTGAAGTTGGACATGTTGACGAACATGCTGCGGCAAGCACTTCACCAAGATGCTCAAAGCAAGGTTGTCCTGCAAACGACTCTGCGAAGTTTTGGAATACTCATCAATCAAACGTTCCAGCCCTAAGACTTGCTCCAACAAAGTGCGATCTTTGGTAAATCCCGGCAGGTTCATCAAAGCAGAAAGCAAAGAAATAGCACGAGCCTTGGTACGTGGGGCATGCTGCCTTACAAGCAAACGCCATGCCTCAAAACCATTCCTGCCAGTCACTGTACGCAATGTACGAAGTGGCCTCTGTTTGAGCATGCCAGTGAGTATCGAATACAACTGCAAGCTCCTTTCGCGTGTGGCATCCACCATGCCTGCCATGTTCAAAGGCTCTGCCAAACTCTGTTCCACTGCGTTGATATCTGCCTCAAAATCTGGGTCAGCGTAGTAAAGCCAAGCCTTAAAGTTCATGACCCAGTCTGACCAGCCCTGCTGTTCCTCATCCACACTTGCCGGACTGAACGGCTCCGGTGGTCTAACCACCTTGTGCGCCTCACCGAAGCGCGTACGGTTTGCTTGCCTGATCTGCGATTGCACCAAGTGCAATTGACTTTGTCTCATCTGCTCCACCGCGTTTGCCATCTGCGCCAGAACCTGCTGCGCCGGATCCTGAAGTGGATCAATCGGCACTTGTGTACCATCATTCATGGTCCCTCAAAGAGACCTGGCCTCCAAGACCAGCAAACACAAGCTGCTCAAAGCAAATATGAAAATACCGCACTGCAAAGGTATAAGCAAATGCCAAATACGGAATTGCACAACAACCAGGCAAAGGGCTATGGCAACCTAGGCCCCTGTCTTGTGCAGGAGCTCCGCTACCATGCTAAGATTTCTTTTAGCCGAGACGCCTTACACATCCATGCTGTCATCAACCGTGTTAGTTGACTCATGACAAGTCATGCACAACATGTCAACCAAGTGTCCTATACAAGTCAACATGTACCAGGTTGGTATAGGCGGTGCAAAGTCAAGCACACTTCCTCTCCGTCCTTGCGGGCACTTACAACGACACGGTGCGCAACATGACATCGGCCGCGTGGGCTACTACCAAGCGCGGCCCAAGATGCTGTGAAGTGGTGTCAGCACCCGCTCGGGCGACCTTGCCCGGTTTACCAAGGGCCTAGACGGCACAACGACGGACCTGTTCCTCCACCTGGTGGCCTACCAGCTGGTGACGCTCTCCGGCACGGGCGTCTCTGTGCTGGACTAAAAAAAAGGCCCGGTGTCTCTCTTAGCCTTTGGCGTTAAGGACCAAAAAACCATGCAAAAAAAACAGAAAATGGGCTTCTTCCAGGCCTCTCCATTAGAGAAGGCCCGAAGACTCAGTCCGGAATGCTTAGCCCCTCCGCAAGCTCTGCGGCCGCGCGCGCAATCTTGTTGCCAGCGCAGCAGAACGCTGTAGAGCAGCTCGCGCAACTGGCTGACCCTCTCGTACTGCCCCTCCGCGGCGCGGAGGTCCTGCCGTCCTGCCACGCGCCGCAGCTGCCGGCACAGGGAGTTCCGTACCTGCAGTAGGTCACGTCCACCAGGGCAGACAGCGCCCAAGACAGAGCCACAGTTAGAGGTACGGCCCGAGCCCGAGTACAGCCCGAGCCCGAGGTACGGCCCCCGAGGTACACAGAGAGGTACGGCCCGAGCCTGTAGAAGCGCCTCGGCCGAGCGAGCGCGCCATGCGCATGCTGGAGGCAGTCGGCGTACGACCGGCTGACGGCGGGCGCTAGCGTACTGGTATGAAAAGCAAGATGATGTCCATAGAGCCTCGCAACGAGCCGCAGATGCTCCGGTGGTTCCGCAAGACTTATCCGAGTTACGACCTGCTGCTGCTGAAGCGCCAGCAAGAGCTGGAGGAGGCGCAGGCCTTCAACGCCTGGCTAGGGGAACGCAGGATGGCCCAAGAGGGGCAGCGGCACCTGGACGATGTGAGCCGGCTGACGGAGGCCGTGCAGGTCCCTCAGCTGCGCTACGCGCTGGCTGCACGAGACGTGCCTGAGCTGGGAGTCCGACTCCGAGGAGGTGAGCTACCTGCTCCTTGTGGACTACGACTTCCCCCCGGGAGCTGCATGACCACTTGGACTAAGCTCCCCCCGCGCGCATGAAGGTCGGGAAGGGCCTGTACGGGCCGCACACCGCGGACATGGCAGAGCGCCTCGGCCTCTCCCCGTCGCCCTGCGAGAAGCTCGTGCCCTCCTCGGCATGCACGTAGAGGAGGGCGTGGACGGCAAGCGGCTCAAGTTCCTGCGGGACGTGCTGGGCGCCAGGGTCTGGAGGCTGCACAAAGCCTACCGCTTCGCCTGCAGCCCCTTCATGGCGGGCTTCATGGAGCTCAAGCACAGCGAGCGGAGGCAGCTCAAGACGGCGGGGAGCGTGGTCGCCGAGAAGGTGGTGAAGCTCACCCAGAACGCCATCTTCGGCCGCTGCTGCATGAACCCCGACAAGTTTAGGAACACGAACGCCTACGTGGACCCGGCCAAGTTCGAGCGGGCCGTGGGCAAGAGCTCCGTGACGAACTTCGAGCTCCAGATCAACGACTCGGAGGGGTTCCTGGCCTTCGTGGAGACGCTCAAGACGGACCGCAGCAAGGCCTGCATGAGCGTGCCCACCCAAGTCGGCGCCCGCACGCTGCAGCTCTCCAAGCTCATGATGGAGAAGGCCTACTACCTCCACATGAGGAGGCTCTTCCCGAAGATGAGGCTGCTCTTCACGGACACCGACTCCGTGATGGTGCAGATCTTCGAGATGGCCGAGGCGAACCTACGTGGCCGGCAAGTCCAAGGACCCCGAGAGGGACCTGAGCGCGCTCTCTGCAGCGGCGCGCGCCAAGGCCATCGAGGTGATGGGCCAGCTGGGCAAGCTCGGCGACGAGACCTTCCCCGCCAGGATCCTGGAGTACGTGGGCCTGCGCTCCAAGATGTACAGCATCCTCACGGTCCAGCCCGACGGCGCGCGCAAGGAGAAGCGCAAAATCAAGGGCGTGCCGAAGAAGGCGGTGACCAACGTCCGGCATCTCAAGACCGGGAGGTGCTGGAGGAAGGCAGCAAGCGCAGGGCGGCCTTCGCGCAGCTGCGCAGCCGCGCGCACAAGATCGCCGTGGAGACCGTTGAGAAGAAGTTGCTCTCGCCCTTCAACGACAAGGTCTACGGCCTCGACGCTCACAACTCGCGGCCGCTGGGACACTGGCGCAACCTGGAGCAGCTGCGGACAGGCTCCGCGCCCTTCGACCTCGTGATGGAGTTCCTCGTGGGGCCCCCGCCTCTGGGGCCCGCTCCGACACTGCCGCTGCGGCTGAGCCGCTGCTGGGCTAGACTGTCGGAACCGGAAAAAAAGATCCCGAGCCCTCGTTTTCTCGCTTTCTCGATAATGCTTATTCGATCCGCCGCAGCTGTCAAGATGACTTCCTCAGCGGCCTTCCGGTGCGTGCAGGCATGGCTTCTGAAGAAGCCCGCCGTGTGGGCGGACGAGGACGCTCCCTGCCTTGCGGCTGCTCTGATGGCCCAGCGGCCTCCCTGCGACATGCTACGCAAGCGGCCTCGCGAGGATGCGCTGCTTAAGGCCGAGCGCTCGCACCAGCGGCATCTCATCACGCAGCTCGATTGGGAGCTCCTCGGCGAAACTCTGTGCCGTGTGGAGCGGGAGCGCGAGAACAGAAATCTCCGCCGGCGGGTGGACGGCCTCAACAATCTTTCGACAGAGAGCGCGAGCGAGCTAGGGTTGAAGAGCTGGAGCGCAGCAACAGAATTCTCCGCCAGCGGTGGCGCACTCGGCGAGATTCTCGTGCGAGCGCACAGATGAGCTCGAGGACGCGCAAGCAAAAAAAAGATCCCGAGCTCCCGTTTTTCTCGCTTTCTCGATAATTCGATCCGCCGCAGCTGCTCAAAATAACTTCCTCGGCGGCCTTCCGATGCGTGCAGGCCTGGCTTCTGGTCGTGCGCGAGGCGCGAAAAGTAGCAGCTGTGGCCGCTGGGAGCGGGAAGGCTTCAGGGTTTGCTCCGGGAGACAACCATCACAAAGCCAAAGGGTGCAAAGAGTTCCTCTTAGACACACCTGCCAGCAAGCTGAGCAGGACTATTGCTCCCGGCCCTCCACTCCTGACAAGCTTCTCCCGTCGCAATTGTCATTTCCTCAAACCAGCGCAGAGCAAGCTCGGCCCGCTGTAGCGCGTGGGGTGCGAAGAGCCGAAGAGACGTTGCATCCCAGACTTTATGTTCGACTTTCGCCTCCAAGTCGTCCAGCAGCTCATTGAGAAGCTTGATGCGTCGTGCAGGTGCGAGCGCTCGGTAAGGAGCTGATGCGGCGGCGCTGGCGCGAGCGCTTGCCAAAAGCAGCGCATCCTCGCAAGGCCGCTTGGTGGAAGGCCGCTGGGCAATCTAAGCACGCAAGGCAGGGATCGTCCGCCCACGCGGCGGGCTTTTTCAGAAGCCATGCCTGCACGCATCGGAAGGCCTTGGAGAAAATCATCTTGAGCAGCTGCGGGTTTTTTTAAGACCATTCGAGCATTTGGACATTCAAGCATTGGCGGGCTTTTTTTTCTTAAGCTTATCCTCTCTCTTTAGAGGGGGTTTCCCAAATGGATTCTATTCTACCTGAGAGGCTCCTGGCACTCGTCCGTCCAGCATTTGACCTCGTCCTGCGAAGGATTCGAAGTCTAAAACGCTGCGTGCAGGCGTGTGGCTGCAAAATAATGACCCCTAGATATGCTTGCAAAATGCCCAGCAGCTGCGTTTCTGCAAGGCGAGCTAAAAAAACAGGGAAAAAAAAAGAAAGCCAAGCCAAACCAACCAGAAAGCCAGCCAGGAGCCAAACCAAACCAGCCAGAAAGCCAGCCAAGCCAAAACCAAACCAGCCAGAAAGCCAGCCAGGAGCCAAACCAAACCAACCAGAAAGCCAGCCAAGCCAAACCAAACCAGCCAGAAAGCCAGCCAGGAGCCAAACCAAACCAGCCAGAAAGCCAGCCAGGAGCCAAACCAAACCAGCCAGGAGCCAAACCAAACCAGCCAGAAAGCAGAAACAAAGGCAGCTGCTGGATCTAGGGGTCATTATTTTGCAGCCACACGCCTGCACGCAGCGTTTTAGACTTCGAATCCTTCGCAGGACGAGGTCAAATGCTGGACGGACGAGTGCCAGGAGCCTCTCAGGTAGAATAGAATCCATTTGGGAAACCGCCTCTAAAGAGAGAGGTGCTATGTTCTGTGTTCGCGCTTTCGCGCGGCGCAGTCTGCAGCTGTCGCTGCAGTCGCTGCGCAGTTCGCGCAGTTCGCGTCTGAACTCCACGCACAACTCCACGCGGGCAGCAACCAAAAAATGGTTGGTGCCTGTTTCCAGCCGCGCCTGACACGCCAGCCCGCCGAGTCATACGAATCATACGGATCATACGGTCATACGGTCATACGGCGGCTTGGCACTGCGCCACCCTGCCGCGCCTGCCCGGCATCGGAGCCGCGCCGGGAGGACGGACGAGTGCCAAAAGCCTCTCAGGTAGAATAGAATCCATTTGGGAAACGCCCTCTAAAGAGAGAGGTTGTCCACAGTGGAAGCCCGGTCGCGCCAGCTGATACGAAGCAGTGTCCGATTATGTCGGACACTGGCTCCACACCTAGCGCACCACCCGGCCGCGCCACCTGCCCGACATAGAAGCCAGCCTGCCGCAACTC